GGTTCTACATTTGTCGCTTGTATTGCAAAACGTCAGTGCAGGCCTGGGACACATCGTAATTACTAGTTGGGTGGCCAGGTGAAGTGTGAATATAGAAAATTCCGGGAATTCTCATGGGACCTAGATTGTAGCTTTTGCACAATGCACTTGAGAAAAGCAAGCTACAAACCGCTGATTTGTGAATACAATAATTAGATCCTCCGGATACATCCACTCAGCCGAGGTGAGTTGTAACTGCTTACGCACAGCCATCCTAGACATGTTTGGTTTAACCAGAGAATTCACGAACAGGTGTCATATGAAATACGAAAATAAACGAGCCGGAAAGAAATGAGAACTTTCAAACTCCTGGGTTTTATTTCCTTCGAAATAATAATAAAACGGCAGCTTTTGTCGTCATTCTGTTGAAAACCACATGCTGTTCAGAATTAGCTAAACAGTATGTATCGCGAAGATGCTCAGATGTGCTGCTTACCGTTGATGGAAACCAAACATAACTAGAAAGCGGAAAACACAGGTTTGTATAATGTATCCTGGATCATTTTGCTGCATCTGTACACGTGAATACTGTGTTTTTGGCTTCTTTATTCAGATTCGTTACGGAGAAACTAGTCTTCTAATAACTGGAAAGCTTGTGCTGTGTTCTATGAAATGATGCTTCTTTAAAAACCATGAGTAATTCATTTTGGATTCTGTACATCGTTCACGGTTATGTCATAGTTATACCGGACCTCTGTTGGTCAAACCTTCAGATAAATGTCATGTCCCCCATCGCATTCCGTTGATTTTGTACTGAACCATTTATTTTTCAAAATTTCTTCACACAAGTGCAAATGTGCCATGTTAACTTAAATCGGCACAGATGGCAGCTTCTGGATACTTGTTTTTTTAATTTACAGCCACATACCTGTGTTGAGGACAGTATGGTTACCGGAATAATCGGACTGGAAAGAGGTGGATATTTATTGGGAGCCTTTGAATAAGGCGAAGGTCAGTTCAGCTTAAACGGAAGATGCATATGTATCGGACGAATTTCTGAAGAAATTGTTTAACTCCTTACTAGCAGAAATAGCCTGATAAAGCGTTATGTCATCGGCATACTTAAATAAATGATCTAGAAACTGGTTGACAGTTGAAGGATCTAGATGAAAAACTAGACGGAAGACGGAACCGATGTGGGAAGCACTTACGAATGGTTAAGAAGTTTGCACCTCCAATCTGGTATATTGAGTTTTTCGTGCAAATTGGTCAGCCTGCCACTTCAATAAATACTTGAGACAACCAAACCGTTCCATGCATATCTTACATACTTTGCGAATGAGTCCGTAGATTTTGTCAAACGATGAGCCCACAAAATGGCAGTATCCAAAGTAGACATGTTTTATTTATTGGCAAACTGAAGGGAGGTGGCGAATGAGCATTTCACAACGAGGTTAAACGTTTGAGAATGTCATTTCCTGCCTATTTGAGGCCACCTGATGTTAGAGTTATAGGACAGAAAATTTTGGCTAGCAGACCTAGTATTCAAATTTTAGAAATAAGACTAATGATAACCATGTTGGGCGATTCGGAAGTGAGTACTGCGACCAAGATGTCATTGGAAAAAAAAATAAATATAATCATGGAAATAAGTGCACCACAGATGACTATTGACCGTCAGAAGAAACACCTGTTGTTACTTCATCGTAAGAAGCTTCCACATTTTCTATCTGATAATACCATTGTATGAGTGTTCGGATTCCATGAAGCTGGAACGGTGTTACACGAACGTATAAATCCATAGCTTATGCTTTCAGTGTCCTCTGAGACTGTAGAATCCTTGAATAAGTGACTCATTTTTCCGTTTTTAACATTTACAATGAAAAACTGGAGTACTCAATGATTTATCTACACGTGCAGCTGCCAGTGCTAGATAAAACTGCTCTTATCCTAACTCCTGTAGTGAATGAAAAACCATGCGAAGGCTTGACTTGAGATAAAGTTATAAAATAATGCTATTTTTGATTTCGGAATTCATGACTAGTATGAGAATGACCTATGGGTGTCAAACTATGCTAACCTTCGCGCACAAAGATTTCTGTCTGACATCAGAATCTTTTTTAGAAAAACTTATATCTTGGGCCATGACAAAATGTGTCATTTTTTATTGGTTAATTTGTTGCAAAATAAGTTGTTGTTTTTTTATTCAAAATACAACTTTAGTAGTTTTCGAACACGGTTTAGTTCGCAGTATAATACGCGACCGGAGGTTGCTTCTGAGCACTGCTATCCAATTTTCTGATGCAAACAGTGTCGTTACAAAATGTTTGGTATCGTGCAAACTCTGGTACTCCCCCTAAATCATAGGTCGAGATACCTCGGACAACTGGATCTCCGTACAAGGTAGATTTTAAAACAACTTGTAAGGCAGGAAAATACAAACAACCGTGAACCCAAAGGTCCAGTGAGACATGCACTCGATCAACACTTAATCCAAATCAACGTATGCAATGCAACAAAAGTAAAAATTTTATGTATGTAGTAGGAGACTCAATGATAGTAAAGTTATTGTCCATGCAGCAAAACTGAAGGAAAGTTTAGCAGGTCGACATGGCCTGCGCAGTCAGACAGGGCCACTAATAACAAAACGGGTATAAAGTATCCTACCACTATGATGATAGTCAGTGTAAATGCGTAGCTGACGACAAGTGGCAAGAATGAAGTGGTCGTGTAGTGCTGTCAAGGTATTCCCGTCGTTTTTGTGTACACATACATGGATGGCATGAAGAGTTAATACACCGGTTGGTTGATCCAGGAAACGTTTGACCTTGAGGGGCTGAAAAAAGTGCTATACTTTTCAAGGCAACGAGTTTCAAAACTTCTCGGTAAATGTTCACCATTCCATTTTGTCATTTACTTTACAGATTAGATGACTCCACCCATAAGGGTGATTTTTATTTGACAGCTTTTCTCCAAACTCTCTTATAGTATCCATAGGCTTTTTGTTCTTCCTGTATCTCTCTGAATAGTCTCACATCAATTTGCTCATAAGACATTTAACTGAATAGACTGATCTCAATAACCCATGGTTTCAGTCATACTGATTTTGGCTATGCATTGCATCTTTCAGTTGTCTGGGTATGAGATACTCTCCTTCCAACGTCGGACCATAGATAGACTATCCAACCCCAAACTTCTTATGGCATAGAGATAAGTAGCCAAATTTTGTGTATCATATTTGCTTTCTTTCAATTTTCTTCTTGTGTTTCCAAACCAACCAAGACATCCAGAAAAGGATCAAAGAGAACAACGAATGATGTTTTGTGTTTCGCACTCTCTCTGATTGGACCGGTTTAATAGAATCTTCCGGGTCACTTAGCATTTTTGCTTCAGTTAGCTCCCGGATAGTATCCGATATTTAATTGAGACTACATACTCATCGCAAGTTGTAAGATAAACTGATACCGCAGCAAAAGTTCAAACCACAACCATATTTTTGTGATTCGTTACTGGTTGCTTCATCCTTTGATGAGCATACTTGTTTACCGTTTAGGGCTGCCTGATCGAACAATGAGAAAACTCTCCCATTTCGGTGTGTGGGACAGTGGAGCAATTCAGTGGTGCTGCACTTCGTTCAGAAATGAACATAGAAGACCATGTGCCAGATCTCCTGATCTAGGTTCGTGTCTATCATTTTGTGCATTGCTTGAGCAATACTTCATCCCCGAACATGCCTGACTGTGAGTAAATCTGTGAGTCTGCATTTTCCCGGATGTACGTACACACGTTTGTCTGCGCCGCACAGAAACCCCACACCAGTCACGCATGTGCTCAAAACATGTTTTTCCTCATGTAGATACATGTGACCGACCGCACACGGATCAACGCACACTATACATTCAACCACAATCAAGAGGATTGGTCAGCTTGAGATATAGGTGTGTGGCGGGGGGAAGGGCAGCGGAGACGGGGAGGTGGATAGAAAAGTGGTGAGATTACCACGCATTGTGGGATGGTGAGAACATAATCAGCCTGATGGACGAGGCAAATGAGGACAAACCGCAAAACGAAAGGACAAATGATGACTAGGTTGATGAGAGGAAACCGAAGGGGGAGATGTGATAAGATTCGGACACTTTCGAACATGTCTTCTGTGTTCACTGGTTGGCGACAGTCATGCAAGGGAAAAATATTGAATGGAATTAACACATTTGCACTTACGCGTGTGAGTAGATTGGTAAATGCTACTGTCCTTCTCTCGCTCCAACTGTCGCTCTGTGTGCATGACCATCAATGTAATGTGGGTTTGTGTATTGTTCCCTAAAGTTGATACGGGGAAATCACTCATGGCCACATGAAGACAGGTACAGAGAAACTCTTAAAAATATGCTCACACGCATCTGCGTGTATAGTGTGTGCCTCCTGAATTACTGGTCAGCACCTTTAGACAGTATGTGTCTGATTCGGGGTGGATGTGACTGAGTGAGCTGGGTATACAGAATAGGACTGCACGTGTCGAAAGTGACTACATTACTACACTGATTAGTACCGTCCCCATTTTCAGTCCTCCCCCCTGCCCGGAGCTCTTATGTCCCATTATCATTTGGAGCACCGTCCTCGTTTTCCTCTTCCACTTCATCACTATCATCATAATCATCACCAACATCGTCATTGTCGACATCTTCGTCATCGACATCATCACCACCGCAGTCACTGTTAACAAACAGCGTAATCTATCGCGGGTGCATCAAAGGTAGTAGAATCAGTAAGGAACTGGACCACACTTGTGGTTGATCCTTCACACAAGGTGTGTTGTTATTGCGTTCGCTTGCTTACTCGCTTAGTCCCTCACTTGCCTACGTGTTCACTCAAGCGCACGCACACTCACATACACACACGCAAGCAAACACCCATCTGTGGTAGAAAACACGGCATAATATCGGATCTGATTTCTAGAGTTGGGACAAGTCAGTATTAGTGAAATGCACACAAGCACACTGGGAAACACATACTACTTCAACATGCCTAGCACCGCAAAACCTGAAAACGATCAAGGAGTGAAGCGCAATTTGTTTACCCGAGCGGTTTGTGACTCGGAAAGAAATGTGCATTGCATAAGCCGAATCTATCCCGCGGGGCGAAATGTGAACGCGAAGGAGTCCAATTCAGCCTCTGGTGCTGAAGACGAACGTCAACTCGAAACCGAAGCCACGCGCGAAATTGACATGACCTTGGTTTGGTGTGATCAGACCGGATCACGACAGCCTGATTCTGGATCCGAATCCGGTCGTGGACTGTACACGAACGAGGCAAACCAAGGCGAGTCCGGATTGGAGCATTCCGCGGTGGATCTGGCATCCCTTTCAAATCAATCGGATGAAAGCAATGGACAGGAGGACTTAAACCACTCGAGCATGGACGAGACGGAACCGAGCGTGGATGAGAAACCGAGCGGATTAGAGCCAAGTTTGCATAGCATATCCAGCTTGGGGTTTCAGGAGACAGAAACAATTAAACTTTTTATTGGACAAATCCCTCAGTGGATTGAGGAACGGGATATACTTCCTATGTTTGAGGTATTCGGACCGATACATGAGTTGGTCATTTTACGGGATCGCTTCACCCGAGCACATAAGGGTAAGTGATGAATGAGTTTTAATTTGATGCACCACTTTTGATCCGGTACATTATTTACCCCTTGCATCTGTTGATTAGTGGTGCAGCTTCTGCATCACATGTGGATGTTTCGTTTAAGCAGTTTTTTTTAGTATCAGCGTTAGTGCATTTTGTAAAATGTATAGATATTAGAACTGAATAACAGAGAAGCAGATCCGGTTTTTCGTGTATGTTCTATGAGTCCAACGCTTAAATGTTATACCGTTATGAAATATCATTCACAACTTACCGGTTAAAGCAGGTTGTACTGTATTCATTCTGGGTAATCTTGGACAATAAGAGGGAAAGTGGTATCGTGCAACAAGTCTAGGCGGAGTGCTAGCGAGAGGCTTTATGTTGCAAGAACCAAAATGAGGTACTAACAGTGAGCATTTGCAAAAGGGGACTCAATCACACGAGATCCATGGATGGAACGGATATCGCTGAAAATCTTGGGCCTCATACTCATGATTAGTGAGGAAATTAGCCTGTCTTAGCCACGACGAACGAAAACTACCCAAAACAAAGGACGTTGGTGACAACGTTTCGACCCTCTTGTAAGGCCTTTCTTGAGTCATTTATTCGGCTAAACTCACGTTACAGGTAATTATGAGGCAATGGAATGACGACATTGTATAGAAATCGCATAGTATTCGAGCATGCGTGTGTGTGTTGATGATCGTTCGACGGGTGGTTGGGACGAGTGAAATTGGTTTGGCTTTTAGGTCAAAAGGTGTGAATTGGTCACTAACTCCTTGTGTTTTGTTTTTTCGTTCGTCGTGGCTAAGACGAGCTAATTTCCTCAAAGGACTTGCTTTCTATTTCATGAATTGCACGAACAACTAATTATTGTTTTATGGGAGCAACAACTGACTCTTCATATCAAATAGACATCCGGAAAGTTTGAGTACATTTGAATCAAATTGGAATCTTCTGCAGCAAAAAGGCTCAAATCCGGAAGTTAAGAACAAATATAAGTGAATGATTGAATTTATTTCCATGGAAGCTTAAACGCTCGAATATTGGAATTTCACTTTAGTTTGGGAAAACATTTTGACTCAATCTTGAGCGTGTTTTCATTCACACTTTAACGGAAACATCACAGATTTGCAGACACACATAGATCCGACCTGGCGCTATCTTCAGCTGTTCACAGAACACTGCAAGTTTTAGCCAGTTCTATCCCATGAATTAAAGAACCTACCTTACATGTTGAAATTTCTGATAAACGAAATTTATTTATTTTCTTTCTCAGTTCAATAAGTGGAATTGTTCCATTTTATTTGATGGTACAACAAATGCAGACAACCAGGTCATCCTCGTATACGGTTTTTAGATTGCACTCAGAATAGAATGCATCATGATCCTCTTTTTGCGACATTGAAGCCCTTCAAAGTCACTGATGAACTGGGAGTCCAAAAACTGGTCTCTGTACCGAGAAACAAATTGTAACCGAAAGGATTATTGTTGTTTGAGTTGACTGAAACAAACAGAAATCGGTTTATTTTTGTAAGTTGTATTTCACTACTGGAAGCACGTTTTAGTGATTGATCGATATTGTGTTGTATAGTATTTATATAGAAAGTTGCCTGAACAAATGTGCGTATGTCAGTCAAAAATCTCATCTAACGAAGGAAGTAAAACGAGTAACCTCCAAGGTTACTGAGAAATCCAGAAGAAACCAACTGTTGATATACGAGGATTTTATCGAAATCGGAAACCGTAGAATTTCTGTTTACGTGAATGCGAGAGGATGATAAACTAT